TTAAAAAACAGTACAATTTAAATTATACTGTATGTTAAAATATACATTTAATTGGAACTAAGCTGGAAAAATAAATATGAAGGTAAATTAAATTATAAAACTTGAGATAAAGTTCTTTTTTAATTTATTTGGTGCATTTTAAATGTATTTATTTATTTAGTGGTTCATTTATATGTTTCTGCTTTTAATTCTAATTATGTCAGTTTTGGTCCTCCATACAGCAGAACATGAAGAGGTAATTCAGTGACTGAATCAGGTGTGTTGGAGCAGGGAAATATGTAAAACATGCAGGACTGTGGCCCTCGAGGACCAGGATTGCCCACCCCTGAGCTACAACATTGACATAATTTTGCTTTAAAGACTTGGAAATTTATGAAATGCTTCAAATAAAATCTCTAAATATTTTAACATTATTTTCCATACTACAAATAAGAATTTAAATCTTTTTCTCMGTTGAAACTCCATTCAGAGCGTGTTTTAGTTTTGGTGTAATGACGCAAAAAGAATGTGTTTTCTTTAATGTCCAACTACTTTAAACCCTTTTATTCAGTGGTTTCTTAACGAGGCATTTGTTTCCACCAGGAATCAAGATGTTTTATACATGTGGACCCAACGAAGCCATGGTGGTGTCTGGTAATGAATTTATTTATTAATAATTATTTTACAACATCTCACTTTATAACACAACATATCAGCCTTTGTGATACTGTAATATTGTTAGAAAGCACATAAGGTTATGGCATAACTGTCATATTTTGTACCGGTGAAGATTGGTTTATAGTGAATAGGTAATATTTTGTCATTAGGTAAGTTAGGTTGATAAAGTTTGGAGTAGCTCTGGGGTTTTCCATATTTTTGTAAATACGTATGTGTTGAGAAATTCTTTGAGATGTTGACATTGTTGCAATATGAAGCTGTGATATTTATTATTTTCTCAACCGTTTGGACTAAAAACCGCTCGATGTTCCCTGTTTGCCCCTCCTCTTTCAGGGTGTGGCCGCTCTCCACCTTTAATGATCGCTGGAGGAAGAGTGTTTGTCATCCCCTGTATACAGAAGCTCCAGAGGTGAGCAAATTTCTATTTCCAATGTTTGGTTTTTAATTTTATCTTTATCTTTTGGCGGTTTTATCCAAAATATATATTTTTCTTTTTATTCACAGAATTACCCTCAACACAATGACTCTAAATGTGAAGAGTGACAAAGTTTACACCCGTCATGGCGTCCCCATCTCTGTCACTGGAATTGCACAGGTTGACAGCTATTTTTTAACCTTACTGTCAYTGACAATAAGTCATGTTCAAGAAAAAACAGTATTTTTTTTCTTTTTTTTTTTGTTGTTTTGCTTCAGATCTGCTGATGTGTGATTTTAGGTCTCTGATTTCTTCTTTCACTTCTTGTTTTTCTTGTGTTTCTAGGTGAAAATTCAGGGTCAGAACAAGGAGATGTTAGCTAACGCCTGTCAGATGTTCATGGGTAAATCCGAGGCAGAGATTGCTCAGATTGCGCTCGAGACGCTGGAGGGCCATCAGAGAGCCATCATTGCTCATTTAACCGTGGAGGTTTGTCTTCTAACAGTCGCAGATGTTTTTGCACGAACACTGTTGTTGGTGGTGCTGKTTGTGTGTTTTAGTTTGTATGAACRATGTTGTGACTCTGCTCTGTGAGCAGGAGATCTACCAGGACCGCAAGAAGTTCTCCGAACAGGTCTTTAAAGTGGCCTCCTCAGACCTGGTCAACATGGGGATCGGTGTTGTGAGCTACACGCTCAAAGATGTTCATGATGATCAGGTGTGTGTTTTTTCTTCATGATGATCAGGTGTGTGTGTTTTTTCTTCATGATGATCAGGTGTGTGTTTTTTCTTCATGATGATCAGGTGTGTGTTTTTTCTTCATGATGATCAGGTGTGTGTGTTTTTTCTTCATGATGATCAGGTG